AGGTCCACAGAAAGAATCAGGGTTTCGCTCCAGCTCTTCTGCCTCCCAGAATTTGTGTCCAAAGAAAATCAAGTGGCCAAAATGATTTAGAAATAATTTTAAAAACTATCCAGTGAAGATAAACCAGGAAGAGAAGACCTCATCCTCCTGAATAAAGGTATAGAACTGAAAACCCTTAGAGCTTAATTTAGGCCCAGCACACAGTATGTGTTCAACAAATGCTAGTTGAATGGACACAGTGCAAAAGTGACTTCAACTGCATACACAGCAAACATGGACTTGCTGAAAACCTGCAGACCAATGGGATTCAAGGCCTTAAGTGAAGAAAGACCAAAGCCCACCTGATATCATGATGCTAGTTACATGCTTGACAGTACTTGATCCCACCAGAGGACATGGGCTTAACATTTAGAACTACAAACATATTTAGATAAGTGCTCAGATGCCAGATGTATAATAAGTTATTAAGAAAACCAGGATGGCCTAATTTTGAAATCGGCCCTCAGAAAGACAAATGGCCCCTGCCCCCTAGACCTCCTGCCTGAGCAAGAACCCAAGACTGACCCAGGGCCAGAACTGTTCTCACTGCCTAAACCAACAATTTATATACTGAAAAAGGAAATGAACCTTTAAGATGGGGTGGGGAGGATCAGGTTGGGCCAGGTGTCCAAGGTCAAGGTGAAGCCATGGGCATCATGGGCAGGGAAGTAACTATCTTGTTACTGATTTTATGATAGTTTAGGGCTTGTCTCCCCTCTGCTTCTAGAGGACTAGAACTGTATCCCATGCTTCTGCCTCCCCCAAATGTGCAATGGTCCTTCCTATGTGCAAGCACCAGGAGCTCAGACATTTATGGAATGAGTGAACAGGCAGGCAGCTGAGGGTCTATTTTTATCAAGTGGTGTGGTCCTGAATGAGGTCCCTGGAGTTAGAGGCAGTGAGCAAAGGCAATAGGAGCACATGTGGGACCTGACCCAAGGGGAGGCATCTGTGTGCTGGCCACACAGGGAAACAGCAAAAAGAACCAAAGAAGAAATGCTTCTGAGGAAACTTGATCCAATACTTGAAGAACTGTCACACTGGCAAGGAATTAGTCATGCTCTATCCAAAGCCCCAGAAGTCAACTGTCAGCTGAATTTAAGGAAGAATTCTTTCCCAGCAAATTATGTGTCAAACTGTGTTTTGTGGACTGCTAGCACTCCGGGAGTGGGGGCGCAGTACGGGAAGGAATGGAAAAATTCCAAATGATTCCACAGGAAAATATGTTGAGGAATTTGAGTTAATCAGAGATAACAGATGTTCTTGCTGAAGAGCACAGCTTTTGGCCCTTCTCAAATTTATGTGGCCCCAACAGCTTTCCATAGGATGTTATGAATATCTCACAGAGTCTCTGTTCTAAGCTCATCTCTGAGAAAAGATGAATTAGAGCTGACAAAAGCATCTTATGAAAAGCGGAGTGTCACACCAGTTTCTAAGTACTTTTAGGATATAAAATTCAACACTGCACACATAGTACAGATGCAGTCTAGGAGAAAACTAGAACCACTGGTTTATTCTCCCATAAAAAAGTCCAGATAGACTTTCATCTGGAATGGCCAAGTGGAAAGCCAAAAGGTCCAGTTACACATGAGTATGTAGATTAGCTGTCTCCTCCCACCACTTGGTGCCCATGTAAGTAGGTGATATGGATATAACAAAGAGATCCTGGAGATAATCAATGTTGTTGGGTGAGCAGCTTAGTGACAGGATGAGTTCTTGCCAGAGCCCACTCTGACTCCTCATGCAGAAAATACTGCCTGCCTTGCTCCCATTCATCTATCCATTCTGTAAATATTCACTGGGGGGTGGGAGGGGAGTCTTCCATAGATCAGCAGTAGTAAGTAAAGCCAAATAAGGTGTTCCTTTAGGACTACCTTTTGGGGAATACAGACAATAAACAAATCCACTGCACAAAAAATGATTTAATTAAGGTTTTCTATATATATTACAAAGGAAATAAATGATGCAAAACAATGGTAAGTTACACAGAGATCTTCTCTAGTGTGGGGTTTCAGGATGGGTTCTCTGAGGAAGCACAGAGACCCTGTTTTACAGATCCTCAAATGTGCAGGTCAAAAATAAGTCTCTGTGACATTCCTCTGGGAAATCATGGCCCTGGAGGGCTGGGAAAGGCCACACAGGCCTACCCACCACAGTAGCCTCCTCTCTAGCACACATCTTATTATGCTATATTTGGGACAATGACTCAGTAGGTCTGGGGAGGACTAGAGAATCTGCATTTCTAACCCAGTGATTCTCATGCTGCTAGTCTGCAAACATTTAAGTAATACTACTGTATTGGGCATTTTGAAAAACCTAAATAAATGGAGAGCTATACCATGTTCATGGATAGAGAGGCTCAATCACAAAGATGTCAATTTTCTTCAAATTAACTTATAAATTCAATATACTTCCAACCAAAATCCCCATGGAGGTGTTTTTTTCTTTATTATTGTTTAACCTGAAAGCTGAATCTAAAATTAATTTGGAAGGCAATTTTGGAAAAGAACTGAGGGACTTGTCTTACTATCTCCAGGCTTACAATTAAAGTATAGGTGAGGTATTAACATACAATTAGCCAAAGAGAAAATGTAACAGAACAGAACAGAAAGCCCAAAACAGACCTGTACTTTTAGGAGAACTATATATGCAAGACAGCATTACAAATCAATAGGGAAAAGAAATACTACTGAAGGAACTGATAATTTATATTTTTTAAAAAAACAAAACCCTGAACTCCTACATCACATCATATGCAAAAATAAAATTCAAAATAGGTTATATCCCTCAATATGAAAACATAAAACATTTAAAACTCTTTTTAGAAAATACAGAAGATTTTTACAACTTTGGGGTAGGGAAATACATTTTAAATAAGATACCAATTATGCAAACCAAAAAGAAGAAACTGGCAAATTTGACTTCAATAAAGTTGAAACTCTTGTATGCCATAAACAAATAAGAAAAGCCACACAGTAGGAAAAGCTATTTGCAGCATACTTATATTCAGAATGTATCAAGATACTAATATCTAGAATGTATCAAGAATTCCTACCCATGAGAAAAGACAATCCAAGGAGAAAGGGATAGGAGCAAGAAGGTCACAGATGAGAAACCCAAATAGAGGAAAAAACATGAAAGTAATTAGAGGAATGCAAATTTAAAATACTAAGATTCAAAACTTAAAAAAAAAAAAAAAAATCAACCAGACCAAGTGCTTTCTAGAATACGGAACAGCAGAATTTTCATACTCTATTATTTAGAAAGTAAACCAGAATGATCCTTTCAGAAAGCAATTTGACATTATCTGATAAAACCCATGATGCATGCACCCTACTACTAGCAATTCCACTACTAGGTATACCGCCTAGAAACCTCCATTCACACAGACAGGGAAGCATGGAAAAGACATTTATTGTGTGCTTAATAACAGTAGGAAACAGGAGAAACTCTAAATCCCCATCAAGAGGAGCTGGCTAAACACAATGTAGTCTTTTTATACATTGAAATACTACACAGCAGGAAAAAAATTAATGAACCAAACCTATATGTATCAGCATGGGAACATCTTAAAACCAATACTGAGCAAAGAAACAAAGTTGTGAGAGAATATAAATAATGGATACCATCAATATAAAATTTTTAAATATGGAAGAAAGGTCTAGGCACTATTTGGGAGATGAATATATTACATATTATTTGCATACAGTTTATATGTAACATAATTTTATACAAACTTACATGGTTACTTATTAAAATGTATAATTATATATTAATATATCATGTGTATATACATATGTGTGTGAGATACACACACACACACACACAGACATCATATATAAACATGAGAATGCTCAGTCTAAATTCAGCATCGTGACCTCTAAAGAGGGAAGGAGATAAATGGTATCTGGGGAGAGAATTAAAATCACTCATAAAACCACTGGCCCTCTACACTACTTATAATAAGCATTAGGGATTAAGATAAGGGATGTTCTGGAATAAAGCCATATTTTTTTCAGATTGAAAGCCTCCGAAAGCATTTAGCCCAACCTCTGACTCAGAGAGGAAGCATCTCTTCGGTACCTGGAACAAGGGATCCTCCTACCTCTACTCAGAAGATGCTAAGTCAGGGCCACTGTGTCCTGTTATGCATGTTAGTAATGCACAATTCTGGAGCACACATTTCACAATATAAATGATGCCCTCTAGGGTTGTGCAGTGAACAGCTTCTATAACCATTTGTGGCAGCCCTATAACCGCTAGGTCATAGACCCCTCTGGAAGGCTGATGAAGAATGCCCACCTCTGGGAAAATGCCCATCCACACAATTACTGCTTATAATGTGGGTAGATTCAAACACCTCCCCAACAATGATTAGAGGTCCTCCACTAGCTGAACACTTTCAGAGATGGGTGATCACAAGCTTCAGAAGTACTTGCAGACAGTGCCGTGAAACTAAGCTCTTGTTTTAAGCACCAGCCTCTTTATAAGAGGCTTTCTTTATAAGAAACCAGCCTCTTTATAACCTCTATCCATCAATGCTGATCTGCTTCCCTTGAGCATGACACCTCAGCTACTGAAAGAAAATGAATCCCCCCTGTCCCCCACCCAGACTTCTGCTTTCCAGACTAAATATAGTTTTGACTTAGGTTATTACAAACACACTGTCTCCTCTTTTGTTAAAATGCCTCTTTTTTAACTATCACTTTACGAGCGCTTCTTACCCTAATAAGCAACCAGGCATTCTGACAGGTCATCAAAGAACAAAAAAATCGTTTCTCTCAGCTGCTCCTTTGGGAAACCTCTAAAATCTCCAAAGCCGTCAAATGCCCACAGAAGCTAGCAAGTGCAAAGCCGAAGAAAGGAGAGGTCAGGCTTTTCCCGGAGTGGGGCAACGTTAACTGAGCAGAACCAGGACAGAGGCCTCACAGGCCAAGGAACACAAATCATTTTCCACTTACTCCCAAAACTCCATGACGGGAGAGGTGGCATTCTGCAGGGACACATGACTGTGGTTGCTCATGTTCAGTTTCTGGAACTCCACACAATTCTCTACAGTGGAAACAAGACAAAAAATAGAAGATTAACCTCTGCAAGGGCTGGACCTTGGGAAACATTCAGATTTGATGATGCAACCAGCTGGTTTTACCTAGCCGCTCCAAGCAAACATGCCTCAGAGAACACTGGGGAGGGAGATCAATAACTTGTCAGTTTAAGAGAGAGGTCTGGTCAGATTAGAACAGAAGCAAAATTGGTGGGGGGGCAGGGCACCTTCTCTCAGTCCCACTCCATACATTCTATCCAACTCTTCCTTCCTGCCTTGCTCCCTCTTTTCTATTTCTCTACTGAAGGCCTGCCCATGGCATCTCTGTCCTGCCCAGTGGCCCCAGCAGGAATGGCGGGACTAAAGGAGTTGTATCAGTCATGGGGTCACTAGGATAGTAATGAATTTGAGACTGAGTTCTTCATGTAGAACACTAACATTGCAGCTGCCTCATAAAGACATGATAACTGGATGAAATGTCATGAGCCTGTATGTGTAAAGGATTTCTACTTTCTTCACCATTCCCTCAATTGATCAGTTGGTCCAAGAAAAGATTTGTTGAATGTCTCTTTATTTCATGAAACTTAATGACCAAGGGGGATTTGAATTTCAGGTAAAAACATCCAACCGTTGAACCTTAATGACCCAGATCAACCTCCTCCTCCAGGAAGACTTCCTCAATCTCCCTCCCCTCAAATGCTAAGAAAATTAGGATTTAAAGGCCCTCCAAGGAACCACCTTCTCCAACTCCCTTTATTTTGAAGAGGAGAACCTTAAGGTTCAGAAATAGTCAACGGACCTGCACCTATACCCTCTCCCTCCTCTACAAAGTCACCAGCCAACGGCGGACAGACCAGGGAGTCAGCTCCTTTGTTATGGTCATCACCCAGCTCTGTTCCCCACCAGGGGACCCATAGCTCTTTACAGCACCCCTGGTTACAGAGCCACCTCAGCCAGACTGGGAACCAGAGCCAGACTGGGAACTCCCTGAGGGCATCTGTGCCATTCACTGCAGGGGCCCTGCACCTGGCAGCAGAGTCTGCATGGAGCCAGTGCTCTGCCCAGTCAGGTACTGCTCTCTCCTCACACATGAGCAAATTCTCCAGCTACATCTGTGAATTCTGAAGCAGGAAGCCCTCCTATACCTGATGTTTGCCACATCAACAGTGTTCACACACTCTTAGTGAAAGGGGGCTACAAACCAGGGGCAGACAGGTTCACAGTCTGCTGGGGAAATGTCCTCCGATCACTGGCCTCCTTCCTGCTCCCTTGGCAAGTGCTAACCATCTTCTGAAGCGGGGATGGGCTGTGGGGTCCAAAAACTCCTGAAAAGAGTCTGAAAACCCGAGATTACAGGTGCCCTTGTGCCTTTTTCCAGGGAGAGGAGCCCTTAGTTTTGATCAGTCTCTAAAACAAGGTGTTTTTTTTCCCCCTAGAGTAAAAAAATTTCTCAGACATCCGACATGGACAAGGTGTTTTTATTAAAATGACATTTAGTTATGTACAAATAAATGCGTGATTATAGTATTATGGTAATCATACAACTATAAAAGCAGAATTAAGTTTATACATTAAGTATCAACTACGAAAGACAATTCAGATTGATAGCATAAAATCGATGTGTAGTATAATGCCATTTTGTGAAGTTAAATGGACATCCCAACAGAAAAATGGAATCAACAGGGAGAAGGCAGGGTCTACGGAGTTCAGCTTGCCTGTTCTTCCACTGGCTACTTGAGATTCAATTCTACTATCATTTTTTTTCTGGTCACACTTGCGCAATATCCTTATTCTTAGAGTTTGCTACATTCTTAACTGGACTTCACTTAGTACTGAAGCACTATTTATAAATTAAATCTCTCTGCTCTTCTCCATTGGCCACCATCCTATTTATCAAAAACAAATCTTAAGTTGCAAACACGCACAGCCAGGCACTGCAACCTCCTGCCTGTCCTTGGTTATAAGATGGTTGTGCACAGAATCCACGGGTGCATATTTTTAGAGTATCCTCAAAATAAACACACACAATTAAATGATCATGGAGGATTCATAGGCCTCCTAGAGTATACATTTGAATTTTAATTTGAGAAACATCCCTATGAAATCCCTGGCCAAAGAAAGGTTAAGAACCACGGCCCTAAAGAGAGACAATGAGAGACCTGTACAAAATGCAATGGGTGGGAGCTGGATAAAGTCATGCAGGACTAGAAGCTACTTCACAGCACTTCGTAGGCCTAATTGCTACTGTTCCTTCTGCTGGTAACCAACATCCTACCCAGTCTTACTGTATCTCAGGATGACAGACCACTTCCAGAGACAACCTAACCACAGGTTATAACACAGATGATGAATAGCTTAAAGCATGTGTGCCAACTCCAGTCAAAAGGCAGTGGCTCCCTGGAGCAGAGCAGAGAAGGGTTCTGAGGCCAAGACTAGATTCAAAAAGTGAAGAGTTCTACAATCGATTGGTGATGTCTGCTCTGAACCTGGCCATCAGATAGGGATTGAACGTGTTATTTGCCTTCCCTGGATTATAAAACTCAATCTTAATAGGATGGACAAATTTAAAAGCCAACAGCACATTAGAATTCAAAGTAATCTAAAAAGTTATCCACTCGAGGGAGTAGGAGAGTGGTAAATTCAAATATCTACCTGGGTTAGACAGGTAAAGTAAATATGTAATGTGGACTAAGTGGAGTCTGTGGCCAAATTGAGAACAGAGGTGTTATCCAAAGACAACTGCTTATTAGCCCCAGCATTGCTGCCAAGCAAGAATTTGGCAATGTGGGTCTGCTGTTGCCAGGTTGTTTTTTTAATTTTTTCAAGAGAAATTGGAAATCTGGATTTTCATGTGAGGTCTTCTGGTTTTTAAATTTTGTCAACCAGATACATTTTTGAAATTCACTGATCACTGATCAAAAACCTAATAGGTGTGTTTGCAACCCTTGATCTAGTCTAACCCCTTCGTTTTAGAGAGGAAAATCTGATACCCAGAAATGCAGGGCTGGAAATGAAGCCTGACCCCCTCATACCTGCCTGCACAGGGCTCAGTCTCTATATTTGGCAAAGTGAGGAAAGAACATCACCATTCCACTACCTGTGCCAATTCCTAGGCCAGAGCTCAGCTCAGGCTCAGGGCTACAACCCACAGAATGCAACCAGACCCAGTTAAGAACTGACCTCCAATTTCAGTGGAATCTGGACTCATGTCAAAAGGCCAACGGCTAGGATTAATCTCCAGGATATGGGCATACCCCCAATGCCAAGCCCCCCAGCACCAGCAGTCAGACCCTCCCTGGGGGCCATACCTGTGTTCCATTCATGCCCACAGGTGGCCCAGGGGAGCTCTGTAGTGAAGCAGTTGCTCAGGTAGAAAATGGCCCATGCCAGGATGATGATGTAGTACACATTTAGATGGGCCTCAATCACCTGTGTTGCGTAGCCAATGCCTGAAAGAACAAAGGGAGTGATTTGAGTCTCTCTCCACCTTGCTACAACAGTCTCAGCTACTTTTCACAGCCTGACATCACTCAGGCACCATTTTCTAACTCAATGCTTACCTTCAAATAAAGGGCAAATTTTCCTCCAACATGTAATGCCACCTTCACTAGTGAACTGTCCCAGAGCTGTTTCCAAGAAAAAAACAGGAATTCCACAGCAAATAAAAAACACCACGTAGGGAATCAGGAACGCCCCTACAAGGATGCAAAGTAAGGGAATGAGATTAAAATTGCCTCTACTATTTCAAGTTTGACACAAGAAATGTTTAATAAGCACCTATTATGTGTGAGACATGTTCTCTGAGCTTAAAGTCAAGTCCACACCTTGAGGGCCACAGTCAGAAAACATGGCCCTGGGTCTGTGCTGTTTGTGCATCTACCTCCCATCTCCCAGCTTCAACTTCATCCGTAAAATGGGGCTTTAAAAATCAATGTCTGTACCACTCGTCTCACAGAAATGTGCATCTAAAATGATAACATAAAAGTGTTTTCCTTAAGCCGCTGCCTTCGGCTCAGGTCATGATCTCAGGTTCCTGGGATCGAGTCCCGCATCGGGCTCTCTGCTCAGCAGGGAGCCTGCTTCCCTCTCTCTCTCTCTCTCTCTGCCTGCCTCTCTGCCTACTTGTGAGCTCTGTCTGTTAAATAAATAAATAAAATCTTAAAAAAAAAAAAAAAAAAAAGGGTGCCTGGGTGGCTCAGTGGGTTAAAAGTGTTTTCTTTCCTTGATTCTGTATTTATATATTTCACCCTCCAGCATAGGTTAAATCCATTCCCTTTCTGAACATTACATTGTCCTTTTGTATTCTAAAGTAACCTCAACAGGCTAGGTAAGGGGGACCCCTTCTTCTTACTTACTTTGGAAGTAATCTACAAAAAGAATGTTTTCATTAGGAGATACATTCTCCAGGAGATGTGCAATAAGCAGCCTCAAGCCCCAGCACATGAGGGTCAGATAAAGGAGCTGAGTTATAAGGGGTTTGCTGTAAGAATCTATCTATTCAGAAAGGCTGACTTTGAATCAGTCTGAGAAAAGACCACCATAAGCTTTAGGGCTCCTATCTTGATACACACAATACCCACTGCCTAGGCCTTTCTGTGAAACAAATTAAATAACTGAGGTGAACATGAGCTATTTCAACCAGAAAGGGATTTTTTCCAAATCCCTCATTCTCTCTCACCCATCTAATAACAAAGCCTGAAAACACATGCTATTGCCCACCATCTGATCTCACAAACGAAGGCTTTAACTGAAATTGCTTTTTGCTAAATTAAGTCTCTTTAACCTTAGAATTAATAATAACAGTTTCGATCAATCCTGATAGTAGGACAGCATCTACCAGATTTTGAAAGGGTTTTAGCTTTTTTGGGCAAGATACTTTTTTTAAAGTTTCACAATGGGAAAGAAATTCATTAAACTATTGTTAGGATCTATGAATAGAACTCTGTATTTTTTTTTTTAAAGGCAAGCAGTTGGTAATCAGATACCCCAACTCTATCAGAAGCAAAAAGTGTGTGAGAAGGGACAAGAGGGTCTGTTTGCTGAATAGAAATCTAAGTGTTTACAACAAGTTGCAGTAGGTTCCCTAATACATTGTAGCATACTTGTGAACCCTCTAGAACCTAACAGATGGCACTTTCTGAAAAACTCTTAGCTTATGTATTCACAAAACTAGCAATCCTTAAGATAACTAGCTCAATTAAATAAGATATCTGTGTACCTAACAGAGACTCTTGGCAAATTACAGAGAAAAAAAAAAACAAATTTTTAAACTTTGCTCACTACAACTTTTTTTTTTTTTAATCTGTGCAGAATTTGTAATTAACCCAACTTACTCTGTTTTATCCTTTTAGGCATGCATTTGGTTTTGGCATAACAATTTCCTGTATTTAAAAAAAGGTGTTAAAACAGTTTTTGCCTGGGACTACCCTAAAGGGTTTCCACAGGTTTCTAAGAAGACACGGCAGCTACTAAAGGCTGAATCTGCAGAGGCAGAACTCACAGCTGAGGCCATAGGGCACATTCCGGGTCTCCAAGGCTACTCCCTCTCTCTCTCGTGCCAAGCCACCAACACCGGCGGCCACTTCATTACCAGTGCAGAGCAGGCTTGGAGCAGCCTGTGCCTTCAGAGTGAATGTCTCCAAAGAAAGGGCCCGGGCCAAGCAGTACCCTTCTCGCTGTCCCTGCAGCTGCTCACACAGGAAGTCCAGCTCCACACAACCTAACAGTGTGGTCCCTGCCAGCCAACTTCTGAGCCACCTTCAGTCGGGTCTGGGGATCTGCTGGAGGAGCAGGGGAACAGCAGGGAGAGAGAGGAATGCATAGACACCGGCTTTTCCTTAGAGAAACTGTGTCACCCAAGAAGGTATCACAAGGTCCCTTGCCATGCACCTGCCTTCTGTCCTGCAAATATGATAGGTGGAGGCTCCTAAAGTCCTTGAGCTGAAAGATTTGAGAATTCACTGCAGCATCACCACCAAACTGACTTGGACATGTCACTAGGAAAGACTCTCTTACCTCCTTCCTTTCCCTGTTCCCTGCTCCAAAACCTCTAAGTATCTCCTATACATCAAATCAGTATTGTTGCTATTTGTCTTGGGTGGCTCTGAGACTAGTGAAAGGAAGTGCTTGGGGCCAATGTTTCCACCAGATGGGCCAGGAAGGAGACCTAGTGAAGGTCTTAAGGGCAAATGAAAGACTGGGCAGGCAATCAAACATTAATGCCCCAACTTAAAGTTTTCCCTGTTGTCAGTCTAATCCCAGTTTAAAACAAGGCCTTGGTGGCAGAATCCCATCTTTACCTCTCACAGGGTTATTTCTTTGAACCTTTGTATCCTCATCTGCAAAATGGGTACGCCAATGCCCGCAAAGATGACTTTAAGGACGCAAGATGATGTAGGTAAAGCTTGTTACAGAGTCTGGCATTTCAGTAAGTGCTCAAAACCTGAGCCTACTCAGATCACGATTAGAGTCCCTTTCCTTCATGCTGGTTTCCAGCTAGGAAAGCTGAAGATCAAAGGGTTTGTCTCCTGCCCTTAACAGGGATGCGGGTACGAAAAGCAAGGGCTCCTAGCCTAGGCTTCCACCTCAAGTTGCCACAGAACACACCTGGCTGTCAAGTCCCCGCGTGCCAGCAGGCGGCACATGCAGGTGTGAAGAGGCGCGTGCACATGCGCCCTGGGAGAGGCGAGCCTAGCCCTGGGAAACGCTCCCGCGCCAGGTGGCCCACAGCGGGCATTCTCCCGGGGGTCCCGCTACACGCAGGCGCGGGCGGGGTCGCGCGCTCGCCCCCTTGCTCCCCGCCCCCACCGGGCTGAGTTCCCCTCCCCGTTCTCCCTCACGTCGCGTGTGCCGCCTCACCTCCTCCGTTCTTGTAGCACAGGTAAGGGAAGCGCCACACGTTGCCCAGCCCTATGATCTCCCCAGCCACGCTCAGCACGAACTCCACCTTGTTGTTCCAGTGGCCACGCTCGTGGACTGCCTTGTCGCGCTTGTCGCGCGGATCTCGCGCGGACGCCGCGCCCCCGCCGCCGCTTCCCAGCGCCTCAGACTCCCGCGCCTCCTCGGCAGCCTTCCCATTGCCCAGAGGCAGCGCTTTCTCCGCCGTCATGGCCGCGCTGGCTGCCTCGTGCGCCGGGCCCGGCTCTGCGCCGCCGCCCCGGGCGGGCTGGCTTTTCAGGAGGCGCGAGCGGGCGGGAGGGGGAAGCAGGGGGTGGAGCTGAGGGGCCGGGCCCGGCCAGCGCGGGAACGGGGACGCCGCGCCGCGGGCCCGGCCCTCAGGGCGCCCACGCCGCCTCAGCCCGGCAAGGCCCGGGAACCCGTCTGTGATGTCCACTCCACCAGGCAAGTCTTTGGCTTTGCTCCTGCTGTATTCCAGAACCCACAATGATACCCGACATACAGTAGGTACTCAGCAAAGACTTGGGACTGACTACATGTTCTGGCCCTGCCTACTTCCTCAGCAAAGCCCCCCACCATTCCCCAGTCTCCACAGGCATGGACACTACAGGTAATGTCTATAAGCCTCAACATACTGCTTCAGGTCATTGGGTTCTTGCCTGTGCTATTTTCTCCACCAGGCATGCTCCTCACTTACTCCACTGGCAAACACATAAACTTCTATTCTCCCTGCAAAACCCCACTAAGCCTCATCAGCTCTATGAAACCTCCCCAAAGCCCAGGCATCCAAGCTTCCTCATCTTAGCTCAATGCAACCATCCTACAAATATCTGTTGCTTTATATTTCAAAAAAAAATTATTTTATTTCATTATCATATGTTTACTTTCCAGGTTCCTCCACTAAGCTATGTGCTTCTTCAAGGACAGATAGCATCTCAGCGATCATCTAGTTACTGATAAGGTGCCCAGCACCCAGTAGGTTCTCCACAAGTGTCAAAAGAACAATCAAGTAAAGTAAATGCACCAGAAGCTGTTCAGGTCCACTCTGAGGGGCAAACAGACCAGGCTGAAGAAACTTCTCTAAGAATCCTGAAAAGAATCCACATAGGCTTGAATGATAGCTTCCTTGTAAAAATTAGCTACCACATACTGAGTACTCACCACATGGAAAGCTCATAGGCCTCATCTCATCTAATGCTCCTGGCCACCTGAGAGTTAGGTCCTATTACCATCTCATTTTCAGGGAAGCAGATGGAGACTCAGGAGGGTAGCTGCCTTGGGTTGAATGCTGTGCTAGTGGAGGAAGTGAGGACTTAAACTGGGTTCTAGAACTTGCTGGCTGAAGTCTACACTGTGTACACGAAGGGTACACATTGGGATTAGAGTACTCCCAATCATTGGGGTACTCCAAACTAGCAGAAGTAGACAGTGCCACCTGATGTTGGCTTCTGACTTAGGGAAAGGGTCTGGGGGGCACTTCTGACCCTTCAGTAAGAGACGCAAAGGCTCCTTCAGACATACAAGCCAACTCTGCACAAGGATTAGCCATGAATCCACACCTGCAGAGGTAGGGGCAAAACTGGGCATGGGGCCTCAGTACCAGGAGCTAATTCAGGCACCCCATTTACAACCCATGAAAGTTCTCCTTTAATCCTCAGAGATCCAGAGAAGCTGGCAAGGCAAGGAACAGGGCTAATCCCCATCTCACGAACAGGAACGTCAATCACAAATATTCTCTTTCTTCATTCAACCCTTTCCAAAGGGCCTAAGCTATCCTGGGCTCAATATAGATGAGGACGCATTCAATCATCATCTCAGCCTTGCAGATGGGCTTTATCATGATTACCTGCCTCTGAGGGGTTAAAAAACATCCATTCATTCATTTATTCCCTCCTCCACTCATCCATCTCAACTAATATTTATTAAGTATCTAGAATGTGCTGGCAGGACAATAGGGAACAAACAAGGCCAGTCCTTGCTGGCATGGGGCTTATATTCTAATGGAGGGAGGGAGAAAATACACAAATAAACAAAGACAAGAGAATTTCAGTAAGTACTGTGTAGACAAAATAACAGAGAAATGCGGTTGAGAGGAGCTGAGTGTTGATGTAGGTGGGATGGTCAGAGAAGGCATCCCAAATGACATCTGCATTAAGATGTAAGGATGAGAAGGAGCCAGACACCCAAGGATCAGGTGAGGAGTCTTCTAAACAAAGGGAACAACAAAAGCCTGTGACTGAGCATGGGACAAATACATACAAAGGACAGAAAGAAGGCCAGTGCAGAGGAGGGCAATGGTAAGGGGAATGAGTCTGAGAGGGAGGCAGGGTTCTGGCAGGCGCTAGGTCCACAGAAAGAATCAGGGTTTCGCTCCAGCTCTTCTGCCTCCCAGAATTTGTGTCCAAAGAAAATCAAGTGGCCAAAATGATTTAGAAATAATTTTAAAAACTATCCAGTGAAGATAAACCAGGAAGAGAAGACCTCATCCTCCTGAATAAAGGTATAGAACTGAAAACCCTTAGAGCTTAATTTAGGCCCAGCACACAGTATGTGTTCAACAAATGCTAGTTGAATGGACACAGTGCAAAAGTGACTTCAACTGCATACACAGCAAACATGGACTTGCTGAAAACCTGCAGACCAATGGGATTCAAGGCCTTAAGTGAAGAAAGACCAAAGCCCACCTGATATCATGATGCTAGTTACATGCTTGACAGTACTTGATCCCACCAGAGGACATGGGCTTAACATTTAGAACTACAAACATATTTAGATAAGTGCTCAGATGCCAGATGTATAATAAGTTATTAAGAAAACCAGGATGGCCTAATTTTGAAATCGGCCCTCAGAAAGACAAATGGCCCCTGCCCCCTAGACCTCCTGCCTGAGCAAGAACCCAAGACTGACCCAGGGCCAGAACTGTTCTCACTGCCTAAACCAACAATTTATATACTGAAAAAGGAAATGAACCTTTAAGATGGGGTGGGGAGGATCAGGTTGGGCCAGGTGTCCAAGGTCAAGGTGAAGCCATGGGCATCATGGGCAGGGAAGTAACTATCTTGTTACTGATTTTATGATAGTTTAGGGCTTGTCTCCCCTCTGCTTCTAGAGGACTAGAACTGTATCCCATGCTTCTGCCTCCCCCAAATGTGCAATGGTCCTTCCTATGTGCAAGCACCAGGAGCTCAGACATTTATGGAATGAGTGAACAGGCAGGCAGCTGAGGGTCTATTTTTATCAAGTGGTGTGGTCCTGAATGAGGTCCCTGGAGTTAGAGGCAGTGAGCAAAGGCAATAGGAGCACATGTGGGACCTGACCCAAGGGGAGGCATCTGTGTGCTGGCCACACAGGGAAACAGCAAAAAGAACCAAAGAAGAAATGCTTCTGAGGAAACTTGATCCAATACTTGAAGAACTGTCACACTGGCAAGGAATTAGTCATGCTCTATCCAAAGCCCCAGAAGTCAACTGTCAGCTGAATTTAAGGAAGAATTCTTTCCCAGCAAATTATGTGTCAAACTGTGTTTTGTGGACTGCTAGCACTCCGGGAGTGGGGGCGCAGTACGGGAAGGAATGGAAAAATTCCAAATGATTCCACAGGAAAATATGTTGAGGAATTTGAGTTAATCAGAGATAACAGATGTTCTTGCTGAAGAGCACAGCTTTTGGCCCTTCTCAAATTTATGTGGCCCCAACAGCTTTCCATAGGATGTTATGAATATCTCACAGAGTCTCTGTTCTAAGCTCATCTCTGAGAAAAGATGAATTAGAGCTGACAAAAGCATCTTATGAAAAGCGGAGTGTCACACCAGTTTCTAAGTACTTTTAGGATATAAAATTCAACACTGCACACATAGTACAGATGCAGTCTAGGAGAAAACTAGAACCACTGGTTTATTCTCCCATAAAAAAGTCCAGATAGACTTTCATCTGGAATGGCCAAGTGGAAAGCCAAAAGGTCCAGTTACACATGAGTATGTAGATTAGCTGTCTCCTCCCACCACTTGGTGCCCATGTAAGTAGGTGATATGGATATAACAAAGAGATCCTGGAGATAATCAATGTTGTTGGGTGAGCAGCTTAGTGACAGGATGAGTTCTTGCCAGAGCCCACTCTGACTCCTCATGCAGAAAATACTGCCTGCCTTGCTCCCATTCATCTATCCATTCTGTAAATATTCACTGGGGGGTGGGAGGGGAGTCTTCCATAGATCAGCAGTAGTAAGTAAAGCCAAATAAGGTGTTCCTTTAGGACTACCTTTTGGGGAATACAGACAATAAACAAATCCACTGCACAAAAAATGATTTAATTAAGGTTTTCTATATATATTACAAAGGAAATAAATGATGCAAAACAATGGTAAGTTACACAGAGATCTTCTCTAGTGTGGGGTTTCAGGATGGGTTCTCTGAGGAAGCACAGAGACCCTGTTTTACAGATCCTCAAATGTGCAGGTCAAAAATAAGTCTCTGTGACATTCCTCTGGGAAATCATGGCCCTGGAGGGCTGGGAAAGGCCACACAGGCCTACCCACCACAGTAGCCTCCTCTCTAGCACACATCTTATTATGCTATATTTGGGACAATGACTCAGTAGGTCTGGGGAGGACTAGAGAATCTGCATTTCTAACCCAGTGATTCTCATGCTGCTAGTCTGCAAACATTTAAGTAATACTACTGTATTGGGCATTTTGAAAAACCTAAATAAATGGAGAGCTATACCATGTTCATGGATAGAGAGGCTCAATCACAAAGATGTCAATTTTCTTCAAATTAACTTATAAATTCAATATACTTCCAACCAAAATCCCCATGGAGGTGTTTTTTTCTTTATTATTGTTTAACCTGAAAGCTGAATCTAAAATTAATTTGGAAGGCAATTTTGGAAAAGAACTGAGGGACTTGTCTTACTATCTCCAGGCTTACAATTAAAGTATAGGTGAGGTATTAACATACAATTAGCCAAAGAGAAAATGTAACAGAACAGAACAGAAAGCCCAAAACAGACCTGTACTTTTAGGAGAACTATATATGCAAGACAGCATTACAAATCAATAGGGAAAAGAAATACTACTGAAGGAACTGATAATTTATATTTTTTAAAAAAACAAAACCCTGAACTCCTACATCACATCATATGCAAAAATAAAATTCAAAATAGGTTATATCCCTCAATATGAAAACATAAAACATTTAAAACTCTTTTTAGAAAA